ATGGGATTGAGGGTGATTTAGCGGTTTGGATCAGAAATTGGCTAGCTGTAAGAAGACAGAGGGTGGTGGTTGATGGGAAATGTTCATCCTGGAGTTCAGTTACTAGTGGTGTACCTCAAGGATCTGTTTTGGGGCCACTGCTGTTTGTCATTTTTATAAATGACCTGGATGAGGGCGTAGAAGGATGGTTAGTAAATTTGCGGATGACGCCAAAGTCGGTGGAGTTGTGGATAGTGCAGAAGGATGTTGCAGGTTACAGAGGGACATAGATAAGCTGCAGAGCTGGGCTGAGAGGTGGCAAATGGAGTTTAATGCGGAAAAGTGTGAGGTGATTCACTTTGGAAGGAGTAACAGGAATACAGAGTACTGGGCTAATGGTAAGATTCTTGGTAGTGTGGATGAGCAGAAAGATCTCGGTGTCCATGTGCATAGATCACTGAAAGTTGCCACCCCGGTTGATAGCGTTGTTAAGAAGGCGTACAGTATGTTAGGTTTTATTGGTAGAGGGATTGAGTTTCGGAGCCATGAGGTCATGTTGCAGCTGTACAAAACTCTGGTGCGGCCGCACTTGGAGTATTGCGTACAGTTCTGGTCACCGCATTATAGGAAGGATGTGGAAGCATTGGAAAGGGTGCAGAGGAGATTTACCAGGATGTTGCCTGGTATGGAGGGAAGGTCTTATGAGTAAAGGCTGAGGGTCTTGAGGCTGTTTTCGTTAGAGAGAAGAAGGTTAAGAGGTGACTTGATAGAGACATACAAGATGATCAGAGGATTAGATAGGGTGGACAGTGGGAGCCTTTTTCCTCGGATGGTGATGGCTAGCACGAGGGGACATAGCTTTAAATTGAGGGGTGATAGATATAGGACAGATGTCAGAGGTAGGTTCTTTACTCAGAGAGTAGTAAGGGCGTGGAAAGCCCTGCCTGCAAAAATAGCAGACTCGCCAACTTTAAGGGCATTTAAATGGTCATTGGATAAACATATGGATGATAATGGAATAGTTTAGGTTAGATGAGCTTCAGAGTGGTTTCACAGGTCGGCGCAACATCGAGGGCCGAAGGGCTTGTACTGCGCTGTAATGTTCTATGTTCTATGTTCTACAGGGCACGGGTTTAAGGTGAGAGGGGACAGATATAAAAGGGACCTAAGGGGCAACTTTTCACACAGAGGATGGTGCGTATATGGAATGAACTGCCAGAGAAAGTGGAGGAGGCTGGTACAATTACAACATTTAAAAAGCTTCTGGATGGGTATATGAATAGGAAGGGTTTACAGGGATATGGGCCAAATTGGACTAGATTTATGTGGGATATCTAGTCGGCATGAGGGTGCTGGACTGAAGGGTCTGTTTCCGTGTTGTATATCTCTATGACTCTATGAGAGGAGCTAGACAAATACAGTGCTCAGTTTTTAAGAAAACCAAAGCTTCATTTCGGCTCCAAAGTGACTCACTGTGGACATTCAAGGTACTGCAGAATCCGTGCGAGCTGCACATTGGCATGTCCTTTTCTCCCAATTCCTCGAAATTCACCTTCTACACTCCTGCAGTCACACAGACAAAACAAATTTCAAGTTTCTATATTCCATCCAAATGACTATCATTTGGTAAAGGCACTATATAAATGCAAGTTATTATTAAAAATGGCTCCCAGTGGTAGAGGTGTGAAAACTTCCACTATTTTTGGAAGCGGGTTTGGATCTCAACCCACCTAAAATACCTTTAGTTCAGGGGAACTTACCCAGTAAATTCCTCCCTCCCATGCCATTCCTTCTCGCCAAGTTTCCCAACAGAAGCTCTATCCCAGACAACTCTTCCTCACGCACCCCTATCGCCACAACACGTGGGAGACTCCCAGGGGACCTTGTCAAGTATAGACAGTCTGATTGAGTTGTTTAAACTATTAAAAGGGTTACATAGAATTGATACGAACACTATGTCCACCAGTACAGGAGCCTAGAGTGAGGAGTAAAATTAATTTCTCTTCCTCATGGCTTAAGTTAAGAAGCACTCTTTCAAAGGGTATCAAGTTTAAGAGAAGGTAAGTATTGCTGGAGCTGTGGAGGGTCTAATGAGACTATATTTGGGGTACTACGTTCAGAGAAGGTTCACTCGGCAGATTCCAGAGATGAAGATGTCGGTGTTATAATGCAGTAGGCTCTGACCTTGTATCCATTGAAATTTCAAAGAACAAAGGGTGATCTTACCGAAACATAAGATCCTGATAGGACTCAACAAATTGAATGCCAAGATAATGCTTCCCCTGTGGGCCAGTCTAAAATGTGGGGACACAGTTATGAGTCTCCCATTTTGAAACTGGGATTTGTTTTTGTCTTAGGGAGTCATTACTCTGGAATTCCTGTCCTCAGACAGCAGCGAAAGCTCTGAATCCACACTATGTGCTTCACACACACATTTAGAAATTAGAAATTCTCTCCTCCAAAAGGCTGTGGAAGCTGGGACAACTGAATCTTTCAGAGCAGAGATGGTGTTATAATTTTGTTTGGAATGAAATGAGTCAGGACAGGTACAGTATGCAAAGTTGAGGTAAGGGACTAATGGAACGGCAGAAGGGCTGAATTGCCTCCTGCTCTTCTTTGTTCATGTTTATATGAGGAGGGGTGGAACAACCAGGGCTATCAGCTCCATTCTCCCAAGTGTGCTAGAACCAGAACTGAAGCTCACTTCTGGGCCAGAGCTCCAAGGTAGTGCAGGTTAAATTGGGAACTTTGGAACATTTAGTCCTGCAAGAAACTCAAGTATTCGATAAAAGGAAATGCCAGATTTGTCTAGTAACTAACACCAACAAATGGTCTTACTTTTCATCTTCTCCCTGTTCACCAAAGACGACAATTTCATCCACACAGAACACAGTGCAGGCACGTGCTATCTGACCAGCTAAGTATGTCCTGAGCTCTGGAGATTGGGCATTGTCTAGTACTGACCCTGGTAACGCCACACTAATAGTATACTGGCGACCTGGAAAAGACAAACAATAAGATCAGTGCTTTCAAAGTGGACCACCATGCAGAACCATTTAACAATTTGTGCCAGAGAGCTAGGGTATTGTGCAATCCCCTGTGGCACTAAGATGCAAACTTTAAGTTACTAATATTAGTTTATTTTAAATATAATTTCAAGGAATGGTGACTAGAGATAATGTTTTAAAATAATTTTTGAACTTGTGTAAAGTTTTTTTTTGGTGCACATTAATACAGTACAACTGCATAAATAAGATTGGTACCTCACTACTGCTCTGCCTGTATCTCATGCTGTCTGGGAAATAGGTCAAAGCCCAATCAAGCAACTAACTGTGAATATCATTCTTGTTATTCTAACCCCAAGAATTAAAACTTGCATGTACTAGTATTTTTGAGAAGAAATAGCATTCTGAGTATCTTGCACTCAAAGATAATTATTTTGAAAATGTAACAAAAACAGAAGTTGCTGGAAAAGCTGAGCAGGTCAGGCAGCATCTGTGAAGGGTCACTGGACCCGAAATGTTAACTCTGATTTCTCTTCACAAATGCTGCCAGACCTGCTCAGCTTTTCCAGCATCTTCTGTTGAGTTGCAGTATCCCACAGTTCTTTCGGTTTTTACTTTGGAAGTGTACTTGTGTAAAGTAGGCACCTGTAGCAACTGGTTTGCCACAAACGAAGACGCTTCGAGCAGCAGTGCAGAAAGCCATGCTACATGGTGGTGGTGCTGAGGAAGGGAGATTAACCAGGACAACAGTGGTAGTCCTTGCTCACCTCTGAAAGTGGCCAAGAATCTTTAACAACTACTTGAAATACAAGGACAGGGAAACAGGGTCTTAATGTCTCTACTGTAGGGATTTTCTGTTATCATGCTGAAAACAAGATCTAACCACTAAGTGACAGAACATTTTCCTGGCCTTCTCACAAAACATCAAGCAGCATCAGTCAATGGTGCTTTTAAGTGATAAGCTTAAAAACGAACAAATTGACCTGAAATACTGAATAGTTTTGGGCCCCTTACCCAAGGAAGTGAACAGGCATTAGAGACGGTCCAGAGAAGGTCACTAGGTTGACCCTGCTATGGAGTGATTGTTGTATGAGCAGAGGTTGAGTAAGTTGGGCCTGTACTCATTGGAGTTTAGAAGAATGAGAGATGACTTCAGTGAAACATACAAATATTCTCAGAGGACTTGACCGGGTAGGTGCGGAAAGGTTATTTCTTCTTGTGGAATAGTCTAGTACAAGAGGTAATAATCTCTAGAATAAGGGGACACCCATTTAAGACAGAGATGAGGAGGAATTTCTTCTCTCAGATGGTAATGAATCTGTGGAATTCTATGTGGCAGATGGCTGTAGAAGCTGGATCATTAAATATTTTCCAAAGTCGAGATAGACAGATTTTTAATCAGTAAGGGAATCAAGAATGATGGGAAGAAGGCAGGAAAGTGGAGTTGAAGATGATCAGATCAGCCATGATCTCTCTGAACAGCACAGCAGACACTACAAGCCAAAAGGCCCATTTCTGCTCCTACATCTTATGGTCTTTTTAAACCACATTATGGTGGCCTTTAATGATTACATTATTGGTATAAACACTAGTGATGCTGCAGCAGCAGCAGAAAGCACTGGAAGATGAGACACCAATCCATGCTCAGACTTCTCTCTGAGCTGAACCTCATAAGACGTAGGCATCTCTTTGGGCAGGGTGTACAGTTAGGTTCCCTGCCCACCCACTCAGCTCGGGTATGGTGTGAGACACAGAAATTCTAACCTAGTGAGGAAAGAATAATGCAAAATACGAGCCAGTTTTGTGATATTTTACAGATTAACCTTTCTGCTCTGTTTTTTCCTCCAAAACTCTCTGTGCTTCCTCTTCCTCTGCCTTCTGTTTCTCAAGTTTCTTCAAGAGTTTAAATTCTTTCAGTTGCTTTATCTTCTGCTTTCCTAGCGGCAAGAAGAAAAAGTACAATAAGCATATCATTTTACACCACAGGTTGCATGGTCCAATTCATCATATAATTCAAGATTGGAGCTTGTCTGTCTCTCTTTCAATGCTTGTATATAAATTCTATTGGAACATGCTTCAAGTTGCAGAGAAATTGCATGGTTCTTTCACCAATTCCAAAGACATAAAAGCAGAAAGTTATGGAAAATGCAGACGAGCCTGTCCTAGAACACAGAACAGTACAGTACAGTAACAGACCTTTCGGCCCAATTTGTCTATGCCAACCATGCTGCCATTCTAAACTAATCCTATCTGACGGCACATGATCTGCAACCCTCTATTCCCTGCTTGTTCATGTCTGTCTAAATGTCTCTTAAACACGGCTATTGTATCTGCTTTTACCACATCCCCAGCAGCCAGTTCCAGTCACCTATGTACCGAGTGTACAAAATGTGCCTCAAACATCTCCTTTAAACTTTCCCCTCTTACCTTAAACTTTTGCCCTCTGGTTTTTGACATTTCCACCCTGTGAAGAAGACTCTGACTGTCCACCCTATCCATGCCTCTCATAATTTTATATACTTCTATCAGGTCGCCCATCAGTTTCTAACACTAGCAAAAACGATTCAAGTTTGTTCAACCTCCCCTTATAGTTCATGCACTCAGCAACACCCTGGTAAACCTCCCTTGCATCCTCTCCAAAGCCTGCACATCCATCCTATGGTGTCATGACGACCAAACTGCACACAATACTCCAAATGTGGCCTAACTAAAGTTTTATACAGCTGCAACACAACTTTACAACTTTCATACTCAATACCCTGACTGATGAAGGCCTTTATCAATTTCTGTTGCCACTTTCGGGGAGCTATGGACTTGCAGTCCAAGATCCCTTTGTATTCTTTCCTCTTGCACATGACCTCCCAAATGCATCAACTCACACCTGTCCTGATTTAACTCCATCTGCCATTTCTCTGCCCAACTTTCCAACTAATCTATATCCTGCTGTATCCTTTGATAAACTTCATCATCCACAATTCCACCAATTTTCATGTCATCTGCAAACTTACTAATTGGGCCACCACATTTTCATCCAAATCATTTATATATATTACAAACAACAGAGGTCCCAGCACTGATCCTTGTGGAACAGCACTGGTCACAGATCTCCAGTCAGGAAAACACCCCTCCACAACTACCCTGTCTCCTAAGACCAAGTCAATTTTGTGCTCAACTTACCAACTCACCACATCCTATGAAACTTAATCTCCTGGACCAGCCTATCATAAGGAATCTTGTCGAATGCTTTACTAGAAGTCCATGTAGACAACAGCTACTGTCTATCCTCATCCATCATCTTTGTTACTTCCTCAAAAACCTCAATCAAATTTGAGAGACGACCTCCACACAAAGCCATGCTAACTATCCCCAATAAGTCCATTCTTTTCCAAATGCGAGTAAATCCTGTCCCTCAGAATCTTCTCCAATTTCCCAACCATTAATGCAAAGCTCACTGGTCTATAAATTCCTGGATTATTCCAGTTGCCCTTCTTAAACAAAAGAACAACATCAGCTTTTCTCCAGTCTTCTGGAATCTCTCTTGAGGCTAAAGAGGATACAAATATTTCTATCAAGGCCACAGCAATCTCCTCTCTTTCCTCTCTCAGTATCCTGGCTTAGACCCCATCGAGCCTTGGGAACTTAACCAACTAAATGTTTTTCAAGACACCCAACAACCGCCTCCTTTTTAGTATCAACATACCCCTCCCTAATCTTACCATCATCCAAGCCCTTCTCCTTGGTGAATACAATGCAAAGTACTCATTAAGGACCACACACACTTTCTCTGGCTCCACACAAATTCCCTTCTTTGTCCTTGTGAACACAGCCCAGCCCATCATGAAAACCAGCTTTCCACCCATTGACTCCATCTATACTTCCCGCTGCCTCAGGAAGGCAGCCAACATCAGAGGCCCCTCTCACCCCAGTTATACTCTCTTCCATCAGGCAGAAGATACAAAACTTTGAAAACACGCACCAACAGTTTAAGGACAGCTTCTTCCCTGCTGTTACCAGATTTATGAACTGACCCTTCATATTAGAGTTGATCTTTCTCTGCACCTTCCCTGTAGCTATAATACTATATTCTGCGTTCTGTTCTATTACCCTGACATACTTACGTAAGGTATGATTCGTCTGCTTAGCATGCAAAAACGATACTTTTCACTGTATCTCAGTATGTGACAATAATAAATCAAATCGAAAATGAGTGAACCCATCCTTTCCCCAGCTACCTTCTTGCTCCTAAAATATAAATAAAACACCTCGGGATTCTCCTTGATTGTCCTTGCCAAGGACATCTCATGGCCTTTTTTAGCCCCCCAAAATTCCTCATTTAAATTCTTTCATGCCTTCTTTATATTCCTCAAGGGCCTTCTCTGATTTCAGTTTCCCAAAACCTTACACATGCTTCTTGTTTCTTTTTAACTGCTCAGTATTTCTAGCATACTCGATACTTTATTCAGATCCTTTCTATCTGTAGTATTGTGCTTTTCTGTAATGACATTATGCCTTCAACGTCTTTACAAATTAGCATCCGCTCACCAATATTTTCTTGTTCATAGTTAACAGTATTGTACCCTGTATCTAATCACACAAACAGGTAACTTCCTGACAGGGTTGCTCATCTACATCACCCAGCAGCAGGAGGACATGTGTGAAAGCGGCTTGGAAGGTTGTTCCCTCATATTTTTTCTCCCACTTCTACACTAAAAATTTAACTGGTCTCTTCTTATGGCCTCCCGCATGGTCAGGGATTTATTGGAGTGCAGAGGAAACGCTTCAAGGCCACATTCAAAGCTTCTGGGAGAAAATGCAACATTCCCACAAACTCTTGGGAATCACTTGCTCAGAACTGCCCAAACTGGAGAAGCAGCATCCATGAAAGTGCCAACCATTTCGAACATCTCTGATCAGAGCACATGGAGGCCAAGTGCAAACAGTGCAGAAAATGTGTGAAAATCCTGACATCCCACCCTTACGTCTCTTAAAACAGAGCTGCCCCATCTGTGGCAGGGTATGCGTATCCAACATAGGACGGTTAGTCATCTCATGATCCACAACTCCAGAGTGGAAGAAAGTTATCTCTCAGTCTCAAGGGAATGCCTATGAAGAAAGGGGAGATGGGGTACATTGCTGTAGAGCAGGAAATCAATGGCAGAATCCATTCTATTCACAGCTACAAGTGAATGGCTGGATATAGGCAAATCAAAATACAAGAGGGAAACATCAGTTAAAACTAGAATGAAGGCAGGACCAGTAGAAATATAAAATATAACAGAAAAATTAAACACTCACTGGCTTCTTTTAATTTCCTCCAGTCAGTTCTGGTCATCCCATCCTTAAAAGAGGATTAAGTCAGTGACTTTTACAACTTTGAACAATGAGCATTGAACACTGAAACTTGAAAGAAAGTTAAGAGTGCAATTTACTGAATTTACATGATGCATCAGAGAAGGATACATGTACATTCTTAAGGTGTAAAATTTTTAGCTTATTCCAAAGAATAAATTTCACTATTTGTCACACATACTGTATTAAAGAAAAGCAGTGTATAGAAAATTATAGGCATTCAAAAGTAACTTTTTTTAAAAATACCAAACCAAAAAAAAATTTAAATATGCAAATAACTGGATTCATTTTTGGCTTAACAGGAGGAGGCAGAGTAACGGTGGAGGGTTGCTTTTCAGATTGTAGGCCTGTGACCAGCAGTGTTCCATGGGGTAGTAGGAACTGCAGATGCTGGAGAATCTGAGATAACAAGGTGTAGAGCTGGATGAAC